AGTAAGTCAGAAAGAGAAAAATAAATATCGTATATTAATGCATAATGTGGAATCTAGAAAAATGGTACAGATGAACCGGTTTGCAAGGCAGAAATAGAGACACAGATGTAGAGAACAAACGTATGCACACCAAGGGGGAAAAGCAGCAGGAGTGGCGGATGAATTGGGATATTGGGACTGACATATATATAGTAATATGTATAAAATAGATAACTAATAAAAACCTGCTGTATAAAAAATAAATAAAATAAAATTTAAAAAAATAGGCAATATATTTTGTGTGTGGTTTTCTATATCCGTTTTGTCTTACAATAACAAATTTAAAAATAAAACTTAATTCATAGTGCTCTTTAACATTTTTGTAAAGAACATAAAATCTGTAGAAATGATGGATTATTTCATGGTCCCGCCCAACTCTTAAGTTTAGAAAAGTGAAGTGACACATGAGATCCACAGTGTTAGATGGTACATGCAGGGTCACTTAGATGGATAAGAACGGATACAGTCCTCGTTCCCACTTCTCATTTCAGTGCTTCCCCTCCTACCTTATGCTTTTCCCATTACTCCCTTCCCTGGATGAGCAGGGAAGTCTTTTCTGCTGAGTAATATGTGAAAACGCGTCCAAGTTTAGAGTGAGGCACCGAGCGCTGAGCCTGTCACCCACCACTGATCACACTGGGGTACTGGGAGACCTAAGGGGTATTCCAAGAGTCCCAGAGCCCAGCTCAGCTTCGCAGACTAATAGAAAATGAGCAGCTGTTTTTAATCTATGTAATCTCTGAAGCAGGACCATGCTATTTGGGTAAAATGGCAACTTTGCTGAAAAAGCTATTTCCACAGGTCAGTAGGGGAAAGGAAACATTTAAAGTCATTATCAGGGACAACATGAGAGCAAAATCCAGGAATGTCAGCAAATGGTAGATAGTTTCAGGTTAGCGGCAGTAAAAGTTTTATTTTTATTTGTTACTAAGGTTTTTGGTAAAAGAAGAATTCCAACTTCCTAAGGTCATTATTTGAATTAGTACTTACAGTTTCCATATTAATATGCAGATGTTTAATTTGCATGCATCTTTTCTGAATACCTGCCCTGTAGGTCATCACCAACTTTCCTATACCCACTGTTTGAATATCAAGGACAGAACATGATGAGATCTTCACTGCTAACCCCTGGGAGTCCATTCTGAGCCAGGGGGCAAGGAAGCTTAGGGTGGCTGAAATTTTTGTTGTATTTCTTCTATTGTCCATGATAATTTACAGGATTGTTAGAGAAATTGAAAAGTGCACCATAAATTTGTACTGGTTTGATTTCAGTAAATAAGACAAAGTAGAAGAAAAGTCAGGAAAAACTAAGACTAGAACAATAAGCATCCATTCTGGAGCCAGCTCTTGGAGTTCTGCTAAGTTTCTGAGGGTACATTCCAGATAAGAACTAAAAGGCATAATCGCTGCCACCAGAGGGTGCAGAAGGGTCCTGCTCCTTGCTGTAATCAATTTTCCCTTTTATTTAAAATGACTTAAAAGATAGATATCGGTAACTTTGGCCTGGATCCTGATTCTCACTGCCACCAGAGTGCCTTTATTTCTAAATGAAACCTCCAAAAGGCTTCATTTCTGTCCAATGAATAAGCATTTTCTTTTCATTTCTTTGGTGGTATCCTTGATTTTCCTCTTTCCTTCCAAACTTTGCCTCCTCTTTTTTAAAAAAATATATTTATTATTTATTTGTTTTTGGCTGTGTTGGGTCCTCGTTGCTGTGTGCTGGCTTTCTCTAGTTAACGGCGAGCAGGGACTACTCCTCGTTGCAGTGCGGGGGCTTCTCACTGCAGGGGCTTCTCTTGTTGTAGAGCATGGGCTCTAGGTGCACGGGCTTCTGTAGTTGTGGCATGTGGGCTCAGTAGTTGTGGCTCGTGGGCTCTAGAGCACAGGCTCAGTAGTTGAGGTTCACATGTTTAGTTGCTCTGCGGCATGTGGGATCTTCATGGACCAGGACTCGAACTCGTGTCCCCTGCATTGCCAGGTGGATTCTTAACCACTGTTCCACCAGGGAAGCTCCAAACTTTGCCTCCTTAAATACGTTTTATGTGGCCTGTTGAAGAACTTTCATGTTCTTTAAACATCTCCGCCTTTACTGTCCAAGTCCAAACTTTCAGTAATTAGACTTTGTAAGGGTCTTCTGATGCAGGCCTGCCTCCAGTCACCCACTACCCCAGGTATTTCCAAACCATTCTTTACAGAGCTGCCAGATCCATGGTCTTAAACGTTACAACAGCTGAATTCGTAGCAGATGGCAGAGTAGGAAACACCAGGAAGCAGCCTCTCCACCTAAACAGTTGCATTGGAAGAATGTCTGATGTATCCAGTTTGCAAGCTCTAGAGGAAGACTTGGACAGTAAATTGCTAGTTAATTTTCATCAATTTCAGCTCTTAGCACAGTAGCAGCTACCTATCCCCAAGCTGCATGCAGCTTCCAGGAGCCAGGGTGGGCTGAAAGGACCCAGTCCTCCAAATGTGGAGGATCTGTGCTCTCCTAGCTGACTGCTACTTCTGATAAAAGAGGTGCAGACAAAGAGGTAGGCCACCATTGTTGTTGTACCTCCCCCAGTTGTTGCAAGCCCCTCCCTCTCTGGCTGCAGTGACTGCCAAGGGATTTAAAGGGCCAGCACCCTCTTTTTCCTCCCTTCAATTTTCTCTTTTGAGAACCAGACCTTAAAGACAAGGAGATTCAAAAACAACTGCATGTGCAGGTTAAATCAGAAAGTGACCATGCATGTCCAGGGAAAGGCTCAGAAAAGAACTGAGAAGACCTTAAGTTTACACCTCAGACTGACACTAGGCAAAGAGACAGCCTACAATTAAAAAAAAATAAAAAAAAAAAAAAACCAAAAAACAATAAACACAAAGACTAGCAAAAACAGCAAACCCTGGAAAAGAAGCAGAGTCTGATTTCTAGTGCCTCCCTACGAATGGTCACCAATGGAATGTGTGCATAGGATGCAGTAGTCTTTTCCTACTGGGGTCATTTCATCCTGCAGAGCCAGGAAACTCTACACAGGAGCTTCACCCCCGCCCCCAGGGTTCCTCTGGCTGCACAGGTTAGAGGCTCTAAGGACAAGAAGTCACATATTTGTAGATCACATACAGTCATCCCCTGGTATCTTCAGTGGATTGAATCCAGAACCCCCAGAAGATACCAAAATCCAAGGGTGCTCAATTCCCTTTTCATAAATGATGCATATAACCTACCCACATCCTCCCATATACTTTAAATCATCTCCAGATTACTTATAATACCTAATACAATGTAAATGCTGTGTAAACAGTTGTAAATACAACGTATATAGTTGCCTACAGCAGCAAATTTAACTTTTGCTTTCTGGAATTTTTTTCGAATATTGGTTGAATCTGCAGATTTGGAACCCATGGATACAAAGCCCTGACTAAATTTAAGAGAACTACAAGACGTATAAACAGCAACTTTCTCCTTCTTAGAGGAAACATTTTGAGGAAATTAGAACATGAAACAGACGCAGAAGTGTGAACATCTAATTCAGTAACTATAATTAATGTGTTGTTTTCTTATTTTAAAAAAATAATAGGTCAAACTAGAATAGTTGCTCTTTATTTGAGGGGATCAAGGATACCTTTAAGAATCTACTGAAACTAGGGGTCCTTCTGCTCAGGAAATGCTACATCTTCACATATGCACCATTTACCTACAATTTACCTGTAATTTCTGGGGATTACTGGAATTAGCTTAAAGTTGTCTTCCTCCTCTGACAGTTTTTTATTCTGCCATCCCATGATCAGTGATGATATTTCCAGGTAATTCATGATGGCAGGAGATATATCCCCTAACAATATAGATTAAATAGGATTGAGAGCCACTCAGATTGTAATATTTAGCTAGAAGCAGCAACTAGGCCCTAGAAAATTGACCTGTATGCTCTGCTCTTCTCTTCCACCATATTCAGTGATTCACCATTTCAATGGTGACCAGAAAAAGCAATACAGAGTAGGTGGGAAACTGAAGGCAATGGAAAATGGAAAAAAAAAAAAAACCAGAATGTAAACTGAATACAATTACTGAGTATATTAAGGCCATGTTTTCCTTGCAAAGTAATGAGATTTGATGTATACTCATTTAGATAATCCAACAGCACACAGACACAAACCTACCAGGCAGTACGAAAGCAAATGTCACTACTGAAGGTCAGGAAGAAAAACATATTATATTACGCAAAGTATCTATTTTTTTAAATAAATAACAGCTGTTCTTGATGTTTTGGAAGATAAATATACAGGGAGATAGATCCCTCACTAACTCTGACCATAAAAGAATGTAAAAAGACATAAAAATGCAAATGCAAATCATCTATCCAATGAAAGATAGCTTATTGTACAGACAAAATCCTAGTGTCAGTGGGTCATATTTTATAGAAGACATATATGGCAACAAACTAAAGATTCTTACAAAAATAGCTTTAAAGGAGGATTGAGAAAGAAGATATGCTAGTGGTAAAATCGGAAATGAGTCAGGATGTAATACAAGAATCTCTGAAGAAAGGCAATGACTGAAAATGATGTTAAGCCCTTCACCAATCATTATAAAGATTTTCTTGCTAATGAGTAAAGATCAGGAAACCTATTTATAAAGAGCCCAAATTCTGCAACCCAGCCAGAACTACCTTAAAATATGTCTTTAAAATGTACAGATTAGACATGCAACTACTGATAATTTAACATCATCAATGAATGAATGAATATTTGCAGAACAAAGGGAGGGAGGGAAAATGAAGGGGAGTTCAGTTTAGTAAAAGGTTATTAAAGCTACCTTGTTTTTGACACTGTACTAAGCAGGGTATCACGTTAACTTGTTCACCATGATTTCCATGCTTAGCATAGCATTGGGCTTTAGTGTGTCCTCAACAATTCAGTGAATGATGCATAACTCAAAGAGCTACAAAAGTGAAGACCTATGTCCTGTGCTCTAAGGAGCTCACAGCCTTGGCATTGGAGCATTTCAGCCGAAACATGGATGCCTTTATTTCCACAGCGTTGTTCCCATCACTGGCATCTTCCAATACTGTGCACTTATTTTTGGGAATCACAACTCTGAGTAGTTCCATTTTAGCTTTTTTGGGTTTTATCGATTTCAATTTTTCTACTCAAGTCCTCATATCCACACATATATAATCAATGGTGAACAAACTGTTTATTGTTATACTGGCTTGCTTCACAGACACTGTTAATGCTTGTAATCTTAAGCAGCTGTCTACTCTGGCATCTGGAGACGTGCCCATATTCCAGGCAGAAGCAGCACCCATCTCAGACAGTTATCTGAAATATTCTGATTGATGCCTAGTATTCAAACAACCATTTCTGCTAAATTCAATAAATTTACAGGAATAGGGATGCCCTGCTAGTCCCCTGTCCCCTGTCCAGAAATAGGACCTTCTACGTGATTCTGATACCCACTTTCCCACACTGAAAATCTCTGGCTCAGGTAATGTCCAAAGTCCCCTTCCTTGACATCTGGGTTAAGACGGCAGATATCTTAAAACTTAATTTAACATGCTTTCAATAATAACACAGTTGTAAAGGTTCTTAACATACCAGACTTCCTAGGTTAGTAAAATTTCAAAAAGGGAAAAAAAAAAATCTTTATGTTACATCCAAAACACCTGCAGGAACATTTAGGAAATGCTGCTGAAAATTTCCAGAAAAAGGCCTTGTCTTATTCACAGCTGATCACGAATAGCTTTAGAAACCACAGGATGCTGCAAACATCTCTAAAGGAATTACAAGAATAGGTTGGAATGAGAATAGGAATCAAACCTCTCAGCTATAATGCCTTTCTGGCTTTCGAATATAATTATTACTTTTGTTATTATTATTATTTCTTTTTGCTGATATGAGTCTTCTGGAACTTGGTAATTGTAAAATAGCAACAACAAAAAAAGTGGTAGAAACATTGTATTCGACAAAATTTTTACTTATGTTCTTGAGTGTTATCTTCAATATTTACAAGTTCTAAATTCTATTTTATTCTTTCAGGTAAAAGAAAAAGAAACACATATGTAATATGTTTTGCATATGAAATAGGTTTGGAGTGCCAAAATAACAATGAAAAAAATGGGATTCTTCTGTTTCAGGGGCAGTTTGGGGAGCTTTTGCAGAGCTGGCATTCTTCTGAACTGGTTGGGAGGCCTCCAGGGGCTGTCTCCCAGGTGGTCATGGCCTCCTGATTACACCCATGGGATCTATCATTTTCCTTTTTCTGATCCTGATGTTGGCTTGGCAGGAACCTGACCAAGAAGTTGCCACCCCTCCACCATTCTCACAACTCCTTTCTCTGTGATTCACAATGTGTCTTGCTACCCCTCCTCCATCCTACAGCTTAATTTATTTACTTCTCAGAGGCAAAGCAAATATCACCATGGCTGAGAGATCAATGCTGTCTAGGTCACTCAGCTCTTACAAAAATACTAAAGATATGGCTCTTTTAGCCTTTCTTGAAGAACCCTCTCCGAAGACCCTGGAATGAATCACACAGAGCTTGGCTGGCAAGTAAACTGAGTTACACACGATACTCTATAGTAAACATCGGTCCTTCTCTTGGCTAATGACCAAGCTTGTCTTAGGACAAGCTTATGGACTAAACCACATGCAAATGGCATAAACCAAGCTTATGGTTTCCATTCTGGTATAGAAGAATTTCTTTCCAGAATTTCAAAAAATAAATGATTAGGGGATCTACCCTAAAACTTATCCAGACATCCCTGGGCATGCCCACATTTACAGTGAATGTAGAATGACCCTTTACTTCGACAGACTTCAACATATTAGTTTTAATCTGTTTACCCCTTTTATGTACAGTCAAAATGGAAATAACACTTAAATGAGCACATAATGTAGCACTCCTCTACGTCTTTAGATTTACACTCACAATCCTAGCTACATCAACCAGCTGAACCTAGAAAGAGGAAAAATGGAGTTCTGGTCCTATGCCTAATACGAATCATCCACACATAAAAACTGGAAAGAACTGTAAAACATAATACAAAGAAAAATATGGTTTCTAAGAAACTGTCTCTTCATTTCTGACAAAAATCAATGTGAATAGAATTGGGATTCTTGCAAACCTCTGGAGAACTGATCCATCAATTTACCAAATAGTCCCAGGCCTGTATAAAATGGAGTGAGATTGAAGCACAGGACAGATATTGTTCTGGAAGGGCCAGGAAACATCCTTGACTGCCAGACAACTTAAGCATCTGAAAAAACTGATATTCCACAATGTGTGATGGCAACCTGTAATTGTTTTATTTCTGTAGCAAACTGACACTTGACATGTGAGATCTATTACTGGACATCCCTAAATAAAAACAAATCACAAAGTCCTGTAAATACAGTTTGACAAGAAGGGAAGACATAGCACAGTTTTAAGCTTATGGTGGAATGCCCCTCTGCATTTAAATGTCCGTTATTGTATAAAAAATTGGCTTCATCTGCTATATAGATGGAATAAAGTTTCTAGAAAGCAAAATGTTTAAATGTTTTCAGACGATCTACAGTACAGAAGATCTTCCTCTCCTTCCTTCTGTTCTTTTTCTTCTTTTGGCCGCACTCTGCAGCTTGTGGGATCTTAGTCCCCCCACCTGGCATTGAACCCGTGCCCTCGGCAGTGAAAGTGTGGAGTCCTAACTCCTGGGCCACCAGGGAATTCCCCCTTCCTCCTTTTTAATTTTCCTGGTTCTTACCTTTTACCCTGCCTCCATACCTTCTTTCCTTTCTTATTTTCCATTTTTCCTGTTTGTCCCAGAACGGACGCAGAAAAAAAAAAAATACACACAAGATGACCAGATTGCATAACTGAAATTGCCCAGAAAGAGAAAGAAGGAAAAATATACTGGGATCTGGTTCTGGGTAAGAAGGAGTAAACACACATGTCCTGTCTGTCCCACTGAATGCAACTATAAAACCTGGAGAGACTGTCTGGAGCAGCAACGTGAGGGCTCTGAAAAGTAAATATGGCAGGTGGCTTGGGGAAGGAGAGCAGAATCCCAAGTAGCACTGGACCAGTGGTGTGTTACCATTTTTGTATTTGTTTTCTTTTCCCCAGTTTCCTACGGCTTCCACTCAACACATGCTAAAACCTAAAAGTGGGCATCAGTGTCCACAGAGACCTCAAAGAGCAGCACTTTAGTTCTGACTTAAGGAGCAGAAAGAGGTCCTTTAACACTCAGAGAGAGTGGGGAGATCTCTCCTGTGTTTGTCTTTTCTCCATTCTCTAGTGCCCCAGCCCCCAAGCTATCTTTTGGTAGCAGCAGGAGTGACAGCAGCAGCAGCAATAACTCATAGGAACCTAAAACACTGAAAGAGGGAAACTGTCTTCTCTGATGAGAGGCACTATGGTCCCATGAGGATGAGGTGAAACCATGTTGCTTTTCTCTCTCTCTTTTTTTTTTTTTTTTTTTTTTTTTTTTTGTGGTACGCGGGCCTCTCACTGCTGTGGCCTCTCCCGTTGCGGAGCACAGGCCCCGGATGCGCAGGCGCAACTCAGAGATCCTTCATTCTCTCATACCTCGTATGTGAAGTTTCTGCTAAGCTTTAAGTGGCCTTTTTTTTTTTTTTTTTGGACAAATACTTACCCCCATCACCACCCTCCTTCCCCCCAGGGAAAGGTATTTCATATGCATAAGTTCTGAGTTGGTCAAACACAGCAGCCTTGCAAATGGTCTTCCAAGGAAGCATGAGAGAGGCCAAATAATAATTCTCTGGGAACAAGGCTTTGAACAAGCTGAAGTTGACTTCTGCCCCCATCCAGCGCTTCTAGGCTTCCAGTTTTCACCATAGTTCTTTGTTGGCTCTTAGTTTTTGAGCCTCCTGATAAAACTGAAAGCAAGAGATGGAACTAGCGCTGCTGAAAACACCACACTGCTCACTGGTTTTATCCGGCTTCAATCATTTTGCTTGATTAAATGCTCTCTAGATTGCTGCAAGCCTTGAGTGAACTTCTGAAGTTCTAATAATTTCAACTCTGATCATTCTTTTGCAAGATTTATTTTGTTGCTTTTACGGAGGAGGGAATTTTTAGATGTCCATACTCTTCCATTTTCACTAACATCACATATATAAAGACTTATATCTGCCATAAAATTTACTGTTTTTACTATAATTTAGGTCTTCTTTCTGCTGCTCCTCATCTTCATCCTCTTTCCTAACTTCCATTTCTTAGATTGAAATCTTCTACCAGCCTCAAGTTACATATGATTTTGATTTTCTCCTAGAGTTTACCCCTAACTTACCAAGAATACACAATAGGACTTTTTTCCTGCCCTTTTTCTAAAGTTTACTTTTTTATTTATTTTTTAACATTTTTTGGCCTTGCAGCTTGCAGGATCTTAGTTCCCCAACCAGGGATTGAACCCTCGCCCTGGGCAGTAAATGTGTGGAGTCCTAACCACTGGACCGCCAGGGAAGTCCCTTTCTGAAGTTTTCAATGTTCATTTCTTCCTCACAAAAATGGCAGGTGTAACACAACTGTATTAAACTACTTTTGTTAGCTGACTCTAGAGCATGACCAGCCTGAGCTGTTTCCACGTTCTGCTTCTCACCTGGTGAAACCCCATCACTGACACCTAATCAGGACCATGCCTGTATAGTCACCTGGTTTCCCCGAGCTCTAGCCTCTGCCAACCTCTTTGATGTTATTTCCCAAGGCTCTCTATTTTTTTGCTCATGGCAATGGACCTCATTCACTTTCCAATTTGATGGCCAAATAATCTAGTTCTTTGCTTCCCCCATGGTCTTTGCACTGTTGTTCCCTCTGCATGAATACTTTTCCTCTTCCCACTGCTACCTTATTAACTGATTCTGCTACCCAGTTCAATGCTGAGATATGACAGTAGTCTTCAGATGGAAGAAATTTCCCTACTCATTACACTTATAAAATAGCACCATTGAAACCATTCTATGTTCCTGCAGATGAGACCCAGTCCTCTGGTTTGTCCAGTTATATCCTATATGAAATAGCCTATTTCATGGTTACTTGACTTTGGAGATTACTGTCATCAACTCCCGATTTCCAATAAACTTTTGTTTAAAATTAAAATCATCTCTTTCA